CTTATGAGATGAAGACTGAGACCCAATGCTAGGGATCTCCCCTGCCTTGGGCTGAGGCCCAAGGCAAGGTGGCTAATTTTGTGTAATCTTTTCTCCTCCTTTTCATTTCGTTCTCTTCTCTAATCCCTTCAGTTATGTTGAAAGGATGAAAGGCAGACACTATCAGTAATGAACGGTCTGGGGGAGCCATGGGCATGGCATTTTTCTGTTTAGTTGTTTACCCTTGGCCCTCAATGGGACCCTGAGAGGTGGACTATTTCTCTCCCAACATTCCCTAGGCTTGCCATGGCCAGTAATTGCTTTGTACCATTAATAGGAGCATTGAGGCTTGCTCCTTTATCAAATACACACTCATTTCAGTTCTCCCAGTTCCCCAATTCCAAGCTCTCCTTGGACTATGACTCTGAACACTGCTACTACTACCCCCTCCTCAATGCTTACTATCTCATCAATCCAATGCAAATCATCCACCAAGTCAATACTCAATCTCCAGGAAACATTCCTCCTCTCCCAATATCCACTAATTCATATCCATCCCCACAGCTCTCTTCATCAACTACCCCATCCTCCCTTATTACTACTATGCAACTTTTTTGTCCACCTTCCGTAGTACTTACTCACTCAACACTACTCCCTCTACACATCCCTGTTCTTTGACTACCCCCTCCTCTACAAACATTTTGAACACTCTGTTTAGCCCAGCCTTCCACAGCCGCCCTAATCATTCCTGCATTGTCACATTTACATCTGAATCCCAAGCTAGAGCATTATCAATCCTGGCTGACTTCATTGGCAAACCCATTCTTGCCCAACCTTATCAGCAGTATCAGTACAGTGCTCTACCATCCGTAGATATGACCCCTTTAATTTTTACATTGGCGGAGAATCTCTCCCTGTCTGAGCATATCAATCTATCCCATTGTCATTGTCAGAATTATTGGCGTCTAGGCCATCCTGCCAAACACTGTTCCTAATTGATCAAACTGCTCTGCACAGTCACACACGTGTGTCAATTGTCCTGGTCCCTATAATGTATTCCCTTTTTAGTTGTCTAGCCCTTACCCATCAAGGAGACACAGAGGGATGGACTGTTTCTCTCCCCAACATACTCTAGGCTTACCATGACCAGTAATGAAGACGTTATACCCTTGTTAGGGGCAATGAGGCTTGCCCCTTCATCAAATAGCCCCACCGACTTAAACACTCCCAGTTCCCTGACCCCAGGCTCTTCTTTGACCATGACTGAACACTGTAACTATTACTCTCTCCTCAATGCCTACTAGTACATTATCCACCCAAGTCGACAGTCAATTTCCAGGAGACAGTCCTACTCTCCCAACATTCTCAGCTTCATCAGCTCTACCCCCCAACCTTCATCAATCACCCCACCCTCCCTTGTTACTACTTTACAGCCTTATTGTTCACCTCTTCATAATACTACCTCCCTCAACACTACTCCCTCTTCCACTCGTCTTCGTCCTTATACCACCCCCATCTCTATAAATATCTTAAAAAGTCTATTTAGCCCAAACTCACATCCTCTCATACCAGTTCCCAGTTACCATTTTGTCTCTTCCTCACAATCCCTTTATATCTCGTCTATACTTATCCATCAGAAAATACCTTATGTCATACATCCCTTTCAAATAACTTTCCTGTGCACAGTTATTCACATATTTCTTCACTGTTGGATCACAATTATTTCAGTCTACTTCTCCCATTCCCACCCCATTGACTTTGTTGCCTTTGAAATTCTAATTTTCCAACTCAAGCCAACTTTCCTCATAGTTAATGATTTTAACTGCTGCCACACTCGTTGGGGTGATTTTATCACCAACTCCCTTGTCTGATCCCTAGAACGCTTCCTTGCCACAACTGTGACATTTTTCTTAATTCAGATCACCCCATGCACTTTGACATACGCATGAAATTTTTTTCCTGCCTTGACCCCTGTCTATGCTCCCCTTCTTTCCATTAAGATTTGCATTGGTCAATTCTAGACCACTTTCCCTATAGTGACCACTTTCCGGTCCTCCTTTCTCCTAATTCATATGTACCACTTCCTAACCCCCCACGCTGGTGCTCTGATAGAGCCGACTGGCGTGCCTTCAATTCACTCTCTACTATTCATACCCCTGCATTCCTGTTCTCGTCCTTTTCAGATATGATACAATGTTTCACAGCGACAGTCCTAAGAGCTGTCTATACAGCCATTCCTCAAACCTCAAGACCTTATACCTCCAAATGTGTTCCATGGTAGAATTCTTATTGCACCTGGAACAGTTACTGCTACAAACGAGGCACCCTTAATCAACTAACAGCCCTTATCTCCCTTAAAAGAACATCCGCCTATCTTTGTCGTACAGTGCGGAACAGTAAAACAAATAGTTTCAGCTTTTTGGCATCAGATCCATAAACTATCAGGCAAACATCCCCCCCACATCCAGTCCCCGTCCTCCATATTCTAGATACTCTCATCTCTGATCTTCAAGTCGCAAATGAGCTAGGTGACTATTTCAGCCAGGTAATTTTTCTCCACACTTCTCTTCCAGTAAGACCATCAAGGCATGCAACCCCGTCATCTTCACCCAATCCTATGCCGAGTTCTATAATGCTCCTTTTTCTTCCTCTGAACTCGGTGCTGCCTTACAGACATGCCGTAGCACTCATGAAGGCTCTAATGGTATTCATTACCGTATACTCCGACACCTTCCATCTTCCTTTCTTTTCTTCCTATTAACCATTTTCAACCACATTGGACGTTAGGATTTTTCCTTCCCATTGGCGAGAAGAACTTGTACTTAATGTGGTATCTTGAATCTCACAATCTCTCTCCTTCCCAGTTTGGTTATATTACATCTGCAGTTGCACACCGTGAATCCGTATTAGCCATATTCTTTGACCTAGAAAAAGCATATGATACCACATGGTGGTACCATTTTCTACAACAACTGTCCTCCCAAGGCATACGAGGAAGCGTGTGTCCATCATAAAGTCTTTCCTCTTCAAAGGCATTCTTAAGGTCTAAATTACCACTTCCACATCATTATCCTTTCCACCAGGAGCCCGATCATCACTATATGTTGATGATTTAACTATCTTCACCTCTGGCACATCCATATCATATTTCTTTCAGTCCGCAATATCATCAGTATCTTCCTGGGCCACTTCCGCTTTTCTATCTTCAAATCTTTCTCCATCCTCTTCTCTCGTGTAAGGCCCTAACCTCCACTCCGAATCTTGCAAACTCTTTCCCATATATCCTGGGGCTCAGATAGCAAAACTCGCCTCCATCTTCATCCTCTCCACTCTCGGCTTCCTACCTTTGCTTCTTCTCCACGAATACCTACTTCTTTCCCCATTCGCGTGGATATCTTCCTCTTACCTTCTTACCCACTTCCTGACCATGTCTCCATCCAACCCTCCAGTATTCATATTTACACTAATGGCTCCAAATCCACCTCCGGTGCTAGTTTCGCAGTAACCTTCCCAACTCACACTTTCAAATACACCCTCCATCCCGAGTCCAGTGTCCCTACTACAGAACTTTATGCACTCCTTTTTGTCTTAACATTAAATCTCATAAAGTCTATACACTCAATCAATCCCCTTGCCTGTAAGATCCCGAACTGGTTGTTCTACCTATCCACACGCCATAAATCTATCTGATTTTGCCCAGCCATGTTGGAATCCCCGGCAATGAACAGACACGCTATGCCGCTATGTCCACATCACACCAACCACGTTTCTCACGTATTCCAGGCACGGATTATTACCCCCACTAAAAGACCTTCCTTCTTGTATACCCGATGGCAGTCTTTCTGGTCAAGTCTCCCCACTAATAAATTACTGTAAAACTATCAATCTCCTCCTGGTCAATTCCATTTCATCAGAACAGATGTTGAGAGACGGCTCTCGCCCGCTTACACACTGGCCACACCCGTCTAACACACTCCTATCTGATGTCACGTTCTGATCCGCCCCTGTGTTCCATATGTAATGTCCCTCTTTCAGTTCCACACATTCTGTTGTCCTGTCCACGCTTTGATGCAGCCCGTACCTCTGCTTTCCCCCACCTATCCTCCCTTCACCGACCTCCCAACCTATCAGACATCCTTACAGAATCTCACACCTTCTGCTTTGACAATCTGTTCTCCTTCCTTAGACGAATACATATCCTTCACCTGATCAAATCCCCTTATCTAGCCCTACATTATCTCAACCCTCGCCTCAATTTATTTTCCATGGTATTTTCTTCGACTTCCCTTTTCGTTCTCTTCATCCCTTCTTCTGTCCACTTACCCTAATCGCTAACTATTTTTTTACCCTCTTCGCTACAATACCTTGTCTTAATGGTGTGTGGCCATTGTCTGCCACATTTGTTTGACCATTGACCATTCTGGAAATCCTCAAACATCGCCTTGTAAACCAAAGAGATTCTTAGCCGGGGGCTTTAGCCCCAAGCCACACCCTGTCGCTAAATTTTGAATCCGCTGCTAATGACCTTGGATGTTGACGCGGCAAAAAACATAAGCAAATCATAATAATATTCAAAGATTAAAATTCCTTTTATATGTTACGTTTAAAGCGGTTTACAAAGAATTATCAGACTATTACGAACTGAGATAACTAGTGTTTACTTCTTGTCCAAATACATTTTCAGGAATATTGGATACAGCTTTACATTTTGCACTATCAATGGATTGAAAAACAAGCACTAACTTCTACATGAATTTGATCATTAGAGTTGACAGATAGTATATATTGTATTATAATGCATATGCAATATGCTTTGAGGTGTAATTATGAAGACAAATACTTTTGACAAGCCACAGAAAATGATGTGCCACTGGACAAATTATGAAACTAAAGGTATTCAGTGTTTATAGTACTTGTATGTTTATTAAAGCTTGCATTACGTTCTTGACACTCGTCTAAATAATATTTAAAAGGGTAATGTATATTTTAAGGGTAACGTATACCCAGATAAAATCTGAATGGAAAGAGTTGAACATTTTTATTTCCATGCAACATCCTAAAACATGCGCAAAAGAAGAACATTTTCGACAGCTGTAAAACATTCGTTTATTTTCCTGAAGACTGGATCGCACCAATGATCCAGTCGCTGTACTTATAAATATCCATATACACGGCTGGTTTGCCTGGCTGAGCACATCCCTCTCGCCAGGACATAATGCCACCCACTATAACATAACCATCTCCGTCCAGACACACCAGCCCGCCGCCATTGTCTCCCTAGAAGGGAAACGGTTCTTTGTAATTATTGTTTATAAGGACATATTTTGTTTTTTATTTGTATGGATGTACGCAAATAATCTGAATATATACATAGCATTTGTTTTGAGACGCTGCTACGTCCATGAACGAGATATTTATGCTTACCACGCAAGCGCCGGCTCCACCAGCAACATTCCCGGCACATACGGCATTTGGATCAGGGGCAGAGTTGTACGCCGCTTCGCACTGAGTCGAGGCTAAGAGGTCAATTTCCGCCCACAGTAACTTATCTGAGCCTGGCGCAGTTTCAGCTGTAGCGCCCCACCCTGCCTCCCAGCATGGACCTACACAATACGCATCCATTTATATTTTTACAAGGACGCATTTCGCAGCTGATGGTGTTTGTCATTAATAATGGAATGTTAACTTTGTTAACTTTTTAAAACAGTAACGTAAGCTTAGTAAAATGATTAATAAAACATAACAGTAAATAAAAAATACTCATTATTTCTAACGAAAAAAAGAGAGAAAAAAACGGTATCACATGACTGTGTACCAGACGTCTGACCCACCCGTGAGAGGAGCAGGACTAGTTGGCAAGGGAGGCAGATTTGTATAGGAGTCAAGAATTGCAGGGGTCGAAAGGTGAATGAGGCCCACGTCGTTTAGGTAAGGAGTCTGCCAACTAGCGACCAAACACATATTACAAAAGTAAGTTCGTTATGTGTTTTCATGCTCGGATAAATAGAATTCATTTTCCTGTCACATTACTTTTGGTAGCTATCATGCTATCATTATATTATTGATATCTATATATAGAGAAACTTTCAAATAGATAATCTTTGGGGGTTAAAATATCAGTCACCGCCAAATGGTAAACTGCTATAGAAAAATAATCAGGTATATTAATCATCCAGGGTCACGTCACTACTACGAAGAAACACTTACTAGATATAGTCGGGGTGCTGGATGAAATAATCCACATACAGATACTGTTCAGAACCTTCGTTGAGATTTCGATCGACCTCACCTGATATCACCTGATTAAAAAAATCTGTTATTTTGAAATATGTGTGGAAACATCTAGTTCAATGGAAACTAAACAGGTTCCTTGTGTCAACACACTCGAAGAGTGATGTAACACTTACCCAGAGCCATTCGGGCTTTTCAGAGTCCAGGCAGTGTGCGGCAGTTAGGACCCATTCGGAGCTGATGAGAGTGCCTCCGCACAAAGGCCAACTCTCCTGGAAGTTAGTGGCTTCGATGCTCACAAGCCATGGGAATTGCCCTATATGTTAGTGGGTGATAGGAGAGGATGAGAAGCAGGCTACGAGTAAGAATCAGAACAACTGAAATTGGGTTGCTTTTTGTTTCATTCGCCAGAATGTAAGTACCACATACCTGCAACTGCAGGTTGACCACCGGCAATCTTGATATCTTGTCTCGCACGTTCAGCAAGAACGCAGCTGAAAAGACCTGGAGAAAGCTATGTAAAAGTACTTAGCGTTGGACAAATACATGAGTCGCAGAACTGAGAACTGAAAATTTACAGGAAAATATATAGCAAATTCTAGACTTGAGGATGCCGATGCAGAAATAGGTTAATACACACTCGACAATGTCAAAGGTTGGTTACAGATATTTAGTTTACTTACACAGGAACGCGATTACGAACTTCATGGTAGGTCCTTTACAATATAAATGCCCATCAGTCGTCCTTTTATCTAGCCCATTTATCAAGAATACCCGTGGGACCGGACGGATTCTAATCATTTTCTCTAATTCCCACGGTAAATATCGTGGGAAACAAGTTCCAACTCAAGTGTACAATATATCATTCATAGTACATTATTTATACCCTGACTGATTTTATGTATTTCGAGGATACATGATAACCAAGTGGATAATTCTCTTACAGAATGCCAGAATTAATTTTGCATCGTGTGTAGTTATTGTTATTGTTATTTTATGTATTATTATCATTATTATTATTAAAATTCTTCATATTATTATTGTTATTCAAATTATTACAAATATTATGATTAACATTCTCATTCTTCTTATTCTTTATATCCAAACTATTATTACTATTATTATTATTATTATTATTATTATTATTATTATTATTATTATTATTATTATTATTATTATCATCATTATGATTATGATTATTATTATTATTATCATTATTATTATTATCATTATTATTATTACTATTACTATTATTATTGTTACTATTATTTTTATTATTGTTATTATTATTATTATTATTATTATTATTGTTATATCATCATTATTAGTAGTCTAATTATACTACTACTACTACTACTACTACTGCTGCTACTACTAGTACCACTAATTATTAATATCATTAATATTATTATCATTATTATTATCATTACCATTATCATTGTTATTCATTTTATTATTATCATTGTTATTATTGTTATCTTCATTATTATCATTATTGTTACTGTTGTTGTTGCTGCTATTACCATAATTATCATCATCGTAATCATTATCGTTATACAATCATCATCATCGTTATCTTCATCGTCCCCATCACCATCATCATAAGTAGCACTAGAAAAGAACAGTCATGGCATATTTTTTTTCTCCTCCTATTTTCATGTATCTCTCGGTCGTTATCAGTGTCGTTAATTGAACCAGAGTGTCTGACTCACACCGGGGTTACCGATGATACCACCCACCACGACCCAGCAGATGACGGCGCTAAGGAAGCTCACATTCCCACAGTATCTATTCGAGAGCCTCCCCCTGAGAGCCGGATATATCTCTAGGTAATGGGAGTAAGCAGGAGAGCCTTTGTTATGTCTGACGGTGTGGTCACCCGCGATATAAGAGTTGATAAATGAATGTGTGTGTGTGTGTGTGTGTGTGCGTGTATGTATATAAATAAATATATACACACACACACGCACACACACACACACACTCACTCGACCTCCTATTCGTTTCAAACGAGTCTGTGTTGTGTGTGTGTGTGTGTGTGTGTGTGTGTGTGTGTGTGTGTGTGTGTGTGTGTGTGTGTGTGTGTGTGTGTGTGTGTGTGTGTGTGTGTGTGTGTGTGTGTGAGTGTGTGTGTGAATGTAAACACACACACACACATATAAATATAAACATACATACATACATATACATATATATATATATATATATATATATATATATATATATATATATATATATATATATTTATATATATATATATGTATATTTATATATGAATATATATATGTATGCACACATATATATGTATCTTCTTCTTCTTCATCTACTGGCTTGTTCCCTGTGCGGGGTTCCCTGTGCGGGAATCGAACCCGTGCGCTTGCGGACCTTCCGGTCCAAAGCGTTACCACTGTATCACGGCGGCACCCTACACATATATATGTATATATGCGTATATATATATGTCTATATATACATATATATACATATATGATATATATATATATATTTTTTTAACAGCCATTAAAAAATTCGGTCCACTGCAGGACATCGGCCTCTCTCAATTCAGTATTGAGAGGTTATATGGCAGTGTCACCCTTGCCTGATTGAATGCCCTTCCTAATCAACCGCGGTTCGGTGTGTTAACACTTGTGCCACGGCGGTGACTTCCCTACGACACCTGGGTCTAACTTCTCAAGCCGATGTGTCGTTTTCTCGGGGTCGAGCAAGCAGTCAGAGCGCAGGCATTTTTACGACTTCCGCGACGGGGAATTGAACCTGGGACCACGAGGGTCGGAATTGAGTGCTCTAACCACTAAGCTATTGCGGCAGTATATGGTATATATATGTATATATATACAAATATACATATATGGTATATATATGTATATATATACATATATATACATATATGGTATATATATGTATATATATACATATATATACATATATGGTATATATATGTATATATATACATATATATACATATATGGTATATATATGTATATATATACATATATATACATATATGGTATATATATGTATATATATACATATATACATATATGGTATATATATGTATATATATATGTATATATGTATATATATATGTATATATGTATATATATATGTATATATGTATATATATATAATTATATATATATATATATATATATATATATATATATATATATATATATATATACACATACATACATACATGTGTGTGTGTGTATACAATATACTGTATACAGAGCACGTGGATGCTTGTACCAGCAGCGCTGCCGCCCACGCAAGCTACCTGCCGGCTTGGTGACGCTACCTAGCCTCGTTCCCACTCGCACTAGCCGGTGGCTTGGGGGAATGCTACCTACCCTCGTTCCTCAAGCCAACGCTCGGATATTTAAGGCTTGCAGGTGATCTCTGTAGGCGAAGCTAGACTTCGCAAAACTCAAATTCAATCTCTGTAGGCAGAGTGTTCTGTGCTGCGGCGAGTCACGTCTGACTGCGCGGCCAGTTTGCCGTTTGGCAGGGCTTGCCGTCTGACCTAGGCGCCCTCGCTATAACCCAAGCCTTGTCATATTGTGTTCAACTCCGTGTGCTTGCTAGCTCTTATCAATAAAGAGTTTTAAGCCACCAAGCTTTTACTACTTCCCTGTCACCAATGTTTAGAGGTCCTTATATAACCCCTTACATTCTGGTGGCAGGCGGTGGACGTTGCGCCCTTTTGGCCGCGCAACCGAACAAGCTTCTCCGAAGAAAACCGCTCGGCTTCGACGAAAGCAAAATGACACATCTTCAAAAAAACGTGAGTACACATTTATGGGCCCCTTTTCTTTCATTTCTTTTCTATTTTCCCTAAATGTGTTAGGCCGTGTACAGCCAGCTCATGTTAGTTTTTGGGTTAAAAGTGCTAAGTATAGCAATGGCATACTCTCATTTGAAATCATTCATTTATTAAGTGTCTATTTAATTTTTTTTCGTGATTAAATTATATTGTTTCAATCATGCGAATTTAGCGCGTTCGTGAATTTATTCTTTCACTCATTAAATTAATCTCTCTCCATTCTCTGTTTTGACCTGACCTCACGTGAAAGTTATTAAGTCAGCCTGCCTAGACAGCTGGTAGCTCTGACCTGACTTGACCTTGAGTGATCGTCACAGTGATATGGCTGAGAAAACAGCTTGCAATTCCCTTTTAATTGTTTGAACTAGTTGTCACAATATAGGGTTAATGCACAGCAACAGTTACATGTTCATGGTGACAAATTCTATTGGCGCTAGAACGGAACTTGTAATGCAACTTGTATAATTAAATATAACGCCAAGAGGTATCCTCATTGAAAGGTTGCAATTATGCCTAATGACTCTCGTATGAGAGTAGGTTAAGGTAACTGAAGTAAATCATATGTTCGGGAAACTTTGAGCCAGGGTGACCGCAGTTATGTCCATTAATTTAGGACTAGGATTTAAGTCTGATTTAGGATCCACTTAATTAATCACAACCCGCTCACCCTTTACATGTCGCCGGCATGTTGGGTAAAATCCCATCGGTTCGTGATTCATGATAAATCCCTGCAGGGCATTTCATGAGCGCCCATCATAGATTCGCAGATAGAGTGGGTAATTTATAGATTTCCCCAGCTCATTTAAGCTTCATAAAATACGGCAATTTTTGGGTCGCGTCCCCCGTCAAATGAAGTCTGCATGACCAGTAAGACATACCTATTTATCATTAAATGTTAAATTCAATGTGGTACTTGAAATAATTTTGAATTACGTCTTTAAATAATTAGTTGCATTATTGTTAAAATGAACTTCAGCGTGTTGGCAACACTACCGCTATAGGAGGTCACTCTTACTTTCATTTGACACTCATCAATCACTGTCACTCAAACATGCACACATACTCACTCACTCACCGACGCTGACAAAAGACACTGAAACCTTCATTAATAGGATTTGCTCCTGTCTTAGTTGCAGGCATACGTATTTGTTTGCCGCAATATTCTTAGTCGTGATGATTTCGTATTTATATACTTTCCTTTCTGTTTCGACAAATGGTTCAAGTAATTCCTTGCGGAATGCCAATTGTTGTTTCCCTTACTTTATCATTTCACGAGATGATGGTAGCTCAAGAGGATGCTTGCGGATCGCTACCAACGGCTCCCTCTCCTATAAAAATAAAAAAAAGACGAAAATAACGAAAATTCAACTTTATAAACTGCAAATTAGGAAACAAAGAATCGGCTTGTAGCATTTAACACCTTCTCTTCTCTGTCGTTTTTCCTTCTCTCACTATCTGGCCCATTATGTGTTATTCTGGTTCCCGATATCTGAAACGACACCGAAGGAGGCCCTGCTGCAGAAACGGTCACCTTCGGAAGCCATTAGAAATCGTCATCGGAGATCGCCGCTCGCCAGGACACCCGAGATTCAGCGGAAGCAGGAGCTCGCCAGAGGTTCGCCGTCCTTAATGCTGTGGACGGGCCTGCCTGGATGCCGCAAACCCAGTCAAACTCCAGGAGCTCATTAGTGCAGGTATCAACTGCCCTACGATGTCGAAGAGGACGCTTCCTGCCGGACGCCCATACATCCTGACGAAGATTACGAGGACGTCTGTACGAGCGCGCAGCCGAGAAGAACCTGGACGGAGATCTGCGAGACGTGTATTGGGTGAATAAGCCGCCGAGTTTGACCTGTACACGGACTATGAGGATGTCTGGTCGAGGACGTGAGGATGTCGAGAACAAACGAAT